GAAAAATTGTCTCGCAAATATATATTCAAACGATTGAGAATCGTGTGAAACGTGGAGATTTATGGGTCCCTCAGAACTTTTTTTTTTAATCGATATCTTTTTCGTTAACAATTTCAAAAATGATTAAACAAATTGGGGAAAAATCGTCTCGCAAATATATATTCAAACGATTGAGAATCGTGTGAATCGTGGAGATTTATGGGTCACTCAGAACTTTTTTTTTTAACGATATCTTTTTTGTTAACAATTTCAAGAATGATTGAACAAATTCGGGAAAAATAGAGCCGTTGAAAAAAAAAGGTTCCGAGGGACTAATAAATCCCCACGTTTCAGACGATTCTCAATCATTTGAGTATACATTTGCAAGACAATTTTTCCCGAATTTGTTTAATCATTTGTGAATTTGTTAACAAAAAAGCTGTCGTTTAAAAAAAAAAGTTCGGAGGGACCCATAAATCTCCACGCTTCAGACGATTCTCAATCGTTCGAGTATACATTTGCGAAAAAATTTTTCCCGAATTTGTTGAACAATTTTTCGAATTTGCAGAACTGAATTCATTTTTCTCATTCCGTCCATCGATTGTTTCTCCATCATACTCCCACTCCGCTCTATATGGGATTTTTTCTTTCGTCTCGATTTCCTGGAATTATCGACACTCTCGCGTTTGCTGATCTTTCCGAATTATCGACGCTCTCGGGCTCGCGCTCTGCCTTATCTGTACGCACGCCCTCCGAAAATTACCGACACTCTTGCCCACGCGACCTGTTTGATTCACAGGTACACCCGCAAAATTAGTTCGGCTCGGGCGGCCAGACAATTTCGCGGTTGAAGCTTCGCCATTGGCGTTAGCAATCTCCCCTATAATCTCTGGTTTTCAGACGTCATCGTTTTTTCGATAAGTGCCCTACCTTAGTGACACTCACGACCGCCTCGAATTATCGACACGCACGGGCTCTGAGAATTATCGACACTCACGGGCTCTCGACCTGTTTTACTTACGGGTACGGGCTCTCGATCTGCTTCCCTTACAGGTACAAGTTCTGAGTTAGTTCCAGCGCCGCCGCCACCATTCATCTTGTTCCAATGTTTCTAGCAGCTCTAGTAATGTCTCGTATAATCTCTGATTTGGGTTGATACAGAGTTCGCCTTGCGTTTACCTGTGCAAGGTTGCTTGGACTGCGTTTTATTCTGCGTGTGTACTGTGTTCAGTTATTTTCTGTTTTACTCTTCCAAATCAGATTATTTTTCCACTTATGACTAATATATTTTTTCATTCAATCAATTATTCTTAAATATTAAGAAAAATGATTTAACTGTTGATGTGGATTAAAAGTATGGGCTACACTCGGAATCACTCTTCAGTGTATCATGTGTCGCGTGAATAAGATATCGAACACGCAAATGTGACTTCAGTGACCTGACTAATTTATATAAATACGGACAACATTCGTCTCAATCGAATTTTCAGCTACGGTGTGAGTGAAAGTCTAATACATCAATGCGTACGAGACTTGCTGAATTATTATTTTTTTTGCACCTACTTCGGTTTTCTTGATACGACGACTTTACAGCGCGAAATGGCTACTCCGTTCTGCTCAATGTTCGGTACCATATTACCTCTGACCTTCACAAATTTTCTTTCCTGAATATGTGGTGTGGGTTTTTGCAACGATGGGAGATAAAAAAAGAGGAAATATACTTATGAACCCGCAAACATGGCTTTACTAGTATATTTTTATTTCAATTATTCTATCCTACCCATAGTAGTCATCGCAATTTTTTTACGTAACTGTCACATTTTTATTTACTATCCATCGAAATTATAATTATCTATAGAAATTCTATCGTGTGTCATTGATTTTTGGTCTTTCATTGCTCGCGGAAGGTACAAACTCTATAACTGTTGGCAGCGAAGCGAGAAAATGAGAGCAAAAGAAACGGCCTAAAATGCTGGATGAAGAGGGGGAAGACACTCTTAGCTCTGAGAAATGAGATCAAATGCCTAGTTTGAGGAGTGTTTGCACGAGATTTTATGGCTTCAATGAGGAATTGTTGGATTGTAGTATTGACTCTGCACCGCATACCTACAAGCAGAGTGGAAACTGCAACCTAACAATTGGATACGTTCTTTGATATTAAGTAAAATTTGTTTGCAGCATACGTGATAGTCATGGACAAAGATCTTGAGCATTGCGACACTGATCCTTTGAATGAGAGTGATAACGACAGGAAACGTGAGAATTATGGCAATTTAAGACTTCATAGGGTCATGGATTGCAATAGAGATCTTGATGCAGAGGTAAGTTTGATTATAAAAACACTGATAAGAAATTAAAAGGATATTTCGAAGATGGAAAGTATTGCTGTGTCTTCAGCGGGATGGAGAAAGAGACAATAATAACCACGATCACCTAATTGAAGATAGAGCTGAGTATAAATTGGGGCGTGATTTTCGGAGTATTGGACATCATCGCAATGCAGTGCACATACCAAGCGGAATGGACCATCTGAATAACTCAGATGTTGAGGTATAGATTGTTCGCAAATATTAGTTCATACGGTTAGTAATACAAAATATATATCAGAATGAGGTGAAATAGCAAAACAGCGTAATAATGGTATTACAATAGGCTTTGATTTTGGACCGTTTTTAAAAAAGTTTGGAAGGCAATTTCTCGCCTGTATTATACTGATTTTTTTTTCTGGATTGGCAACTAATAAATACAACGCATTTGATCAAATTCCTGAGAAGTGGATGGGCATTATTTCACATACTTTCGGATATTTCTTTGATAGTTTCTAAGTAACGAATTTATTTTGTAAACATTTAAAATAGCCCGAGGAAACTTCACAACTATCACACTTTGATAACGTGAGTGAAGCAAATCTGAAAAATGAATTGATTTGAAAATTCCTTACAAACTATTAATAAACTAAATAAATAGAGTTGTTCCCCAATTCAATGTACCGTTTCGATTGGTGAAAATTTCGATCGGGAAATAATCCGACAAATAACGCTTCGAGCTTCAAAAATGATAAAAAATTAAGTAATTATTAAAAAATATTATTAACAGTAGTGGTTATTCCAAGTCGACCTTGGAATAAGACCAATCCCTGTGGCGGCTTGCAACTTTTTGAAAACGGTGCTTCACCAAGCGTTGAATTTACTGTAAACACTTCATAACATTGTTTATTTAATTATGTAAACAGTGTTATTCTTCTTCTTCTTCTCATTATTATTATTATTATTTTACTACTATTTAATTTGATTATTTTTTAATTATTATGGCCAGGTTGGAGTATCTGATTATGTGGCATAGATTTTTTTTGTTTTCTTTCTTGTTTTTTTATTTGAAACATTGGCGCAATGGGCTGCAAATGCCACAATTGCAACTAGGCTGGGAAAACAGTAAAAAAAAACTAAAAATATAGAGTCTGTTTTTTTTTTACTTTTTTTTCAGGCTACAGGCATTTATGTGGTGCAGCTGTGCTTCATGCAGGACTGCACCAATGATTGAGATAAAAAAAGAATCTGCATGAGATAGTCAGATCCTCCAAGCGGCAGTTAAACTACTAATTAATCGAGTATTACCCTTTACTTCCCCGCAAACAAACCATTGTGTCAAGTTCTCTCGGAAAATCTCGAAAGCGTTTGGAGATTTTAACCCTGCAAAACTTGACATCCTCAGATTGCAATGGAGATCTTGGAGTATTACTGCTGATCATTTTTCGATTATTTTGTCTTTCACCTATAAATATGATGAAAGCCTACTGGATCGAGTTAATCACTGATTGAAATTGACGTCGAATTTCGAAACATCAATTTTTCGACATATTTATCACTTAAAAAGATATTTCTGTGGAAAATTTCAAATCTTCATCTTGATTCTCTAATTTTTATTAATTGAAAAATGTTTTGTTTCAATTTTATTTTCTTTCTAATTCTAGAGATCGTTTTTAAAATCTGAAAAAATTTGAAAAAATCAAATTTTTCTTATTTTTACCTTCCCAAATTCTATTTTGTATCACTTACCCTTTTTTCAAAATCAATTTTGATATGTACAAATTTTCCCACTACTCTCAGAAAATCTGAGATGATTGAAATATTGAAAATTTTTTCCATCAATTTGGCAGGAATTGGAAGTACAATTATTTCAAATTTTCTCAAAGTATTTAAAGAATCTGAACAGACCTAAATTAATAAAAAAAAAATGAAATGTGACGGTGTGACCTCCAAATACAGAATTGGAGATAGCTAGTGAATAGACCCCTAATCTCCAACTATACTTTCTTTCATCTGTTTGTTCGTTGATGGCCTGGGGTTACCCTATGGCCCCGGACTCCTGGTCTCAGCTAGTTGAGCTCACGGAGAGTTCATTCAATCTTCTGCGGTGCTACGCTTCGCGGTAAACGTCTTGGGAAGGGTCCGCCAATAAGTAATCTCGTGGTTCATAGGCTGATCACATAAAAAGTTTGAAAATGTATGTCAAGTCAGATCTATTAACAACAGTATTCAATAATTGTCTTCCAAACAATATTTCAATTATAATTTCAAAATTACTGCAAGAAATCTATGAAAGGTACGCAATCTTTTTTTATAAAGACGATTAAAAGCAACGAATAACCAATCGAAAGGATAACAACAAAAAAGCAATAATTGAAAAAATATTTCCATTAGAGAAATAGAAAATTTTTCTATTTCACTTTTCCCATCACCAAGTTTCTGCCGAATATCCCCACTACTCTTGCCTACCTGCAGAGCATCATGGGCCCGAAGGGGGTGCAGCCATAAACTTTATGGCTTGTGACAACCTTGCATAATGGAGGTCGGGAGCTGGAGTAGCTCCGAGAGCTGAGGTTGTTCACCTCTGATGTAGAATATTATGGAAGGTGAAAATATAAAAGTCTCCTGGAAAATTAATAGAAAACCGGAAAATTTCAATAAATTTATACTTGAATTGTGAGAAGTGTGATATAGAATGTAATTTGCACGAGAAAAACCGTATCAACATTGGCACCTAAATGTCAATAAAATTTCATTTTGCCTCCGACAATCTATGCGTTTTACGAAATTTTTCATGGTTTTGATTCCAAGATGTGACGTTAAACCATACTATTCGTTCGAACGTTCGTTCGTAGTAAGAAACATTCCACAAATTTCGTTCCGAGTTTCGTTCCAGAAAGTTCGTTTCGCTCCTCACGCGTTCCACGGAACGACATGAAAAGCGGCAATTTCGTTGCGTTCCACTGTTCCATTCCAAGGGCCTGCTTACAACCTTGAGAAGAGTTTTTGAACCTTGAGAAACTTAAATGGACAAATTTCTCATAATTAGAAAAATTATCGGCGTCCTTTAATCTTTAATTGACGACGAAATATTTATTTCTCAAGTTCATGAGCACCCCACTTTCATTTATGAATATTACACTTATGAATATTGAATCTAAACCATCATTGTTTAATTCCATTTTTTTTTAATCAAAAAGAAACTGTCCAAACACGTTCATAAAAATTCAAACCATTTTGCCCTCCCATTTCAATCACGCGCATGCCCCATCGCTCGATGTTCCCCCACCACACAAATCAACAACAACCCTTGTAATCACGTTAAGTGGAATTAGAACTTTAATAATTTTATGGCTGCAGCTCCAAGCCTACCTGATGTTGCCCATCTCTGTTCTACATTCTCAGGCAAAATTTGAAAATCGAGAAAATGATCGATCACCAAGCTTCCATTTACAATCAAAACCTAGATTGTTCGCGAAAAGTTATGAAAATTTGGAGTTTCGATCCAAGCTGGAACGTTTCACGACTTACGTTCCAAGCCGCTGGAACGGAATCAAAACCGGAATGCGTTCCAAGTTTCTGATAGAAACTATTTAAAAGCTCGCTATCAATTTACGGCTGGCAAAAAAAATATACCCACATATTTCAATAATTCATTTCCAGTTGCATAACTGCTGTCGCGTGCTTGTTTCTATAAGCGATCAGATTTGTAGAAATCGTTTGTAGAAAATATACTATTTTCATATCCTAAGAGAAATAGTACCATATGTCAAACGAAGAAAGAGACCTATCAGGATAGCGAACATTATTTGAAATGAAGAGAATTTCTGTTGAAATGAAAAAAATAATTTCAAATTTATTTAAAAAAAAATATAAGATAATATGAAGTATCTATTCTTATTTGAATCCATTTATAACATTTTCCAAAAATATTTAAAGCCAAAAATTGGATGACAGTTCGCAGACTGCTCACTCCATTTTCATGAGGAAACTGTTTTACAATAATCATTTCAGGCCCATCATATAAGGTTATTGTTTGAAACGGATCTACTACGTTTACGACAAAGTAATATTAAATACGTATTATTGCTCGCCACTCAATTCATCGACAGCTGGACGCAACGAGTAAGCTGCGTATTTTTTATTATTTTTTTGAAAACTTGGTATATTGCTTTCAATCAATATCGTGACTTAGAGGTCTTCAATAATTTTTCCTTCTTTTTGTCAGGATTTTTATTTACAATCATTCAAGTGGCTTCCGCAACATGAACTTAATCCCCAATTTCAATATATTTTAGGTTAACAAGAATGAATTTAAAGAAAAGATCACGTTCGACAGATAGCCTGTACGGACCTTCAATTACATTTTTTGGTGCAAAACTGTTTTCATCCACAGGTAAAGTTATCGCGAGACGTACGAAGTTCTTTGGGTCTTGGCCTTTCATTAGAGCTTTGTGTCGTATGTGGCGATAGAGCAAGCGGTCGCCATTATGGTGCAATAAGTTGTGAAGGATGTAAAGGCTTTTTCAAACGCAGTATACGTAAGCAACTGGGCTATCAATGTCGTGGTAGCAAATCCTGTGAAGTTACGAAACATCATCGTAATCGGTGCCAATATTGTCGTCTCCAGAAATGTTTGACAATGGGAATGCGCAGTGACTGTGAGTCCAAAGACTATCAATGAAGAACTCGTCTTTAAGAATGATTATTTGTGAGATAAAATGAAGTATAAGCAAGCCTGGGGTTTTACAGCTGTCCAGCACGAGCGAAAGCCAGTTTTGGGCGAGGCTGCTGGTACAAAAATGGCCAACCGCAGTGCAAAAGTGAAACCAGAGCCACAACAAATTATACCGGAAGCAGCATCCCTATGGGAACCACCAGAAAGTCCAAGTGTTGAGGATCAGAGTAGCGATAGTGATCTTAGCGATGCATTGACGCTCGCTAGAGAGCGATTACTGATTTCTCATGCACTTGAAGGCATGGCCAAGCTTATAGGTGATGTGAGTATCAATTTCTTCAAATATACCGAACTGGAAATGGCGTAATGAAACGACTATCTGATCCAAGTGAATGCTTTATCTTAAGTCTATTAAGGTGGTTGTCGCGCGACAGTCTCTGTAAAAAGTTTATCCGCTGTAAAACGGGCCAGTTTAGAACACAATCTTTTAGCGGTATATAGTCTCACTTGATTGATTGCATTGTGCATGGATAGCTAAAGCATAACTATATATTTTCCATATTAACTATTTTCAATTATATAAATTTATGAATTTCCGATAATTATATTCCGTAAACCAAACGGTCAATCGATTTGATTTTTTTTTCTGTATTTCCTCCCACGATGTATATTCCACGTTTTTTTTAATTTCTGAAACTGTCGAGCCGTTGATTTTTAAAAAATTCTAATCGGCAAAACTCCATTTAAACACGTGCTAAATCACTCGAATTTCAAAAATTTATATCTCAAGTTCAAAACGGTCAATTGCAAACGGAAAAGGCTCATTTTGTTGCTAATTTTTCAAACTATTCACCATAAAATTGTTAACGAAAACTGTCGAAAAAAAATTCTACGCGACAACAACCTTAATCATAAAGTGAATTTACTCACTACATTTTTTTCATGTTGAAGCCGAACCAAAACCTTTAAGTATGCAATTATACACAGACTGACGAATGTTACAAACATGAATGAATCGTCCTATGAAAAATCGCTGCTCGACTTGTTCCTCCCGAAAGACTTATCATAAAATACCGAGGGATTCATAATTACGTTGTACTATTTCCGTACTCCAATGAACCACGAACATTCATTACTGATTCCACAACTGATTTCTGAGTACAAGCCTAGCGTAGTTCCACCGAAATTGAGGCGCGATCAGTTGGCGATTATCTTAATCAAGACTATATAAAAATACAATACAAAATTCTAAATGGTCTCGAGTTGGGTGTGTAGGTTTCCTTCGCCTAATTATTCTACTGAAGACTTTTTTGGGGAGGAAACAATTAGCTTGGGAGATATAATTGTTTATGGACCGCTCATTGCATTATCTGGGGCCATCAAGGGGATGTGGCGCCGTTGTCGGTTCCTACGACAAAATACGTTGGTACAAGTACAGTTACAATTTGCTACGGCCTCTGGGTTACTGGGCTATCATTAATTTTGACAGAAAGTGGGGCCCAAGGACTAACTTGACCATGACCAGTTACGTGAAAATAGAGACCAGAAGAAGCTGTGATCATAGTACGTGAAATCAAACACTGAAGTTTACTATTCTGAGTTATGTAAGAGTTAGAATGAGGAATCACGCAAAGAGAGAGAAAAATTTGTCGTTTGTTATGTAAATGTTTGTTTGTAAAGTTTATCGTTCAACAGTGTTGTTTTATTCAATCACAAAGAAAATGAGATTGTTACAACAATCCGAGATAGAACGACTTTAATAGGTTGGGAAAATAGGAAGACAACAAGATTAAAGAAAATTATAATCTTGTCGAACTTACAGTTGTTGATAAATAAGGGGGGAAGAAAATAGGGCGCGATAACCTAGTCTGATTGTTGGTGGGTTCGAGAGAGTCCTCACAACAACAGAAGTGTTCGCCGCTGAAGGGCCCTCAGTCGATGATCGAGGAATTAAAGCGGTTCTTGGTGGATGATAGTGACATGAACAACCTCGGTGATTCATTTGTGAGGATCTAGATGCTCAAACTTTTAACCTGCCAGGTGAGAACGGATGACTCTCATTTTTTGCCTAAGACGGGGTGACAGTGTCCGTGGATCTCTGTCGTTGACTTACTTGCTTTGATTGCCGATTGATTGGAAAAGCGACAAAGTCGAGTCCGTAGATCATTTCAATATTTAATTCAACGTCATTAAGTTTTTGAGGGGCTACAAATGTAGCTATATGTGAGCGGGCACGTATTTGTTACTCAGTACAAATGCTGCTTCCAAGACCACGAATTGATGAGTGCCGGTGAATCTTCGTTGATCAAGTTATGTTCTGGCTTACGCAGTTCCGTTATAGCGATTTTTCATAGATTAGTTAGTCTAGCAGAGAAACGCGCTGTTCAGGCATAGTTGCTACTTGAGACTATATCGTCTCATTCGCTGACTGACGAATTCGGTGTTGTTCTGCTGCTAATTCCGCTGGGGCTAGAACTGGATTTCTGACTCTTTGAGGTCGACTAAACGGGAACTTGAACCGGAAATTCAAGTCGAACTCGAACATTTCGCGGTCTGGGTTGGGCATGATATAGTCTTGATTAAGATAATCGCCAACTGATCGCGCATCAATTTTGGCAATGAATTCGTCCAGACAAACGCATGTCGTCACCCCGGATATCTACGATCTCTTCAGTTTTTTAGCCGCTCGTGAAGTTTGTGAAGGACAATGGAGCCTTCACCTCTAGTGCAGAACATCTGAGCACGTGTTTCGTGGAAACCAATCCCATTAAGCTTATCAACAATCGAAGTGACCCTCTTTCAAGCTTTATAGCTATCAGAGATTGTTTCTTTTGTACCGTCATTGGGGGGCATTCATAATTTTGAGTGAAAAGTTCTCCATGTTGCTACGTTTTACGATGCTGTAGCAATTCGATTGTTATTGGGTTCCATTGGATTTTAATTGTAGTAGCTGAATTTTTTCATCGTGCTTTTTTACTTCATTGAATGTGCAACGGAGTAGGCCGTTGATGAGTAACCACTGTGCTTTTTCTCTAATCAGCTCCTGAATGCTTCACGGTGACAGTACGAGTTCCAATTTTTATGGTACCTTGGAGACACGTCATTTTGATAGTGGTTCACTCGTATCCTCGTCTCGTGTCTGGTACGGCTCTGGAAGAGCAAGGGGGCTTTTTCCAAGATATTTTATGAGCAATGCAAGTTTTCACATAACTGGAGTGTGACTTTTCTTCCGCCTAATGCTAGTTTGGCAGAGTCACCTCTGGTTGAACTCGCAATTAATTTCTGATTTCTATGCAGTCAGGAAAATTTTATATAAAAGACCTCTATATCGGGCTGCCCTCCGTCATTCGCCTATATACTGCTGTTCATTTTCCATCTATTCGATTTTTTTAAAGCAATTTACTTGTTATTCCCTTATCGCCGAATCTGCACTATTACCAGTTACGTGACTCACTCTAATAAATATTGAAGGGGCTACCCCAATGAAGCAGAGAACTCAAAATATTTCTGATGCATTGCTCCTGGCGAGGGTCAACTAAACTTTCATTGATTTTCTTTCTTGTTATAGAGTGTAAATGGATCGAATGAACCCGAAGAAGAATGGACTGGGCAATTGCTGTACGAGAGAAATACTGTATTCGAATTGAGAGCTCCAAGTCCGGCTCCCGCATATCTATCAATACACTACATCTGTGAGAGCGCCGCTAGACTTTTGTTCTTGTCGATACACTGGGCCAGGGGTATACCTGCTTTCCAAGCACTTCCGTAAGTTTCACGAAAATCAATCATTACACGTATTCTTGCAATACAGTACAACAATTCGTATTAATATCGTCGGAAACAAAGTCCCATTATTTCCTATCTCAAGATTGATAGAAAATGGAATTTCATCATGTTTCGTCTTCCACGTATATGTTTCCATTGGCGTGTAAATAGTTCTTGAAATTGAGACAATAATGAGAATGAGTCAGAAAAATCGGAAATCGATTACTATTCGATTCCGGGAAATGGCAAGTGGAAATATGGAGGATAACTTATGTAACATGCCCAATTTCACTGGGGATGAAATTGGCCAGTTAACCCGCCCTTTTCCCCTGGAATCTAAAATCGTCAAGATAAAAATCAAAAGTTGGGCGCCAGTCATTTGTTTGTTCCTTCGGAAATAACAAACCGGAATACTGTAATTTTCAAAACGGAAACGAAAACCCAAAAGAATACTATAAAATGAAGTCTCGAAAGAAAATCCCAGGAATTACCCGTGGTAGAAACCGAAACCTTTCAACCTTTCAACCTTTCAACCTTTCAACCCTTAATGCTTAACCCTTAACACTTGTTTACGTATTGCGAGATCTGGCGCGCGCATATGCGTACATGTGCGTACGTGCACGTACACGAGCACCCCTACAGGCGCTTGCGGCACGCTTAACCCTTAACCCTTAACCCTTTACAGTGGTATTACCCGCGCTGCTCAGGGGGTCGGTTATGAAGAGAGGAATGGATTCTGGTGGAAACAAGTTTATTGGGCAAAACTCTAAAATAAGTGACTCAAAAGCTCTAAATTCACGAGCAAAACCAAAATTATATTCAATAGGAAGATTATTAATACAAAGTTGAGAGAGAGAAATACAAAATTAGGCGTGACGTACGGAGAGACCCAGAAATTTTAATTACTCAAAATCCTAATAATCTCGAATTTGTCCAAAAGGCACGAAAATAATGTTAGACGAATATCCGCAATTCAAAAGAAAATTTTATTGAAAGTATAATTCAATAAATGGAGCAAAGCTCGAGGAAATAACACCCGGAGTAATACTTTCCAAGCCCTAGAAATAAATTTTACGGCGCAGAGCACAGGGCGTCCCAGATACAGCACTGCTCGAAATATTCTACAAGTGGAGGCTCACTGCGCATAAAACATAGCCACGTGAGCTGTGGGCCGGCACGGCACACGAGATTCGAGATGAATTCTCTGAACACACGAAAACTGCACAGAATGTCGAAATACTCGAAACACTAGGGTGTGAGTCGTATGACGAATTATTAACGTTCGTAAGCGTATTTAATTATTATTAAAAATGGCAAAAACAGCATTTGGAGGCAATAAACTAATCGCAAGAGGGACTGAGAGATGAGAGAGGCTCTCATTTCGGTGTTCCACGCAACAAGAGAACAAGAGATGTTGTCGGCTCGGTGTCTCAAGCAAGACTCCTCATAGTTGATGATTTTAATCATCTAAAATATTCCCAAAATCATTTCTAAATGATGACGTAACCGAAAATTCTCGAATGAAGCGTCTAATATGCAATTGAATCGTGCCGAACAATGAAAATTTCTAACAGGAGGCGCGATGTTTTCCATCGGATATCTTCCGTAAAAATAAATGGGAAAGCATGGTAATGCTAACCCCCCAAATCGTTCTCCTTGTCTCCAGACTGTATCTCAGCAAATATCCAACTATTTGTCTTCTTCCTGATCTCTAAATGTTCCTCACACCTCACGCTAACTCCTCGGCCCCCAAAGAATCCTTCAAAACTCCTAATTAACACCAAAAAACGATAACTTGCTGCACGCATCCGTATCTCTGTCGATGTCAACAACGAACTAACGTTTTCACAACATGGCGGGCGGGAACGCGGTTAGCGCCCCATTTCGCACTTAAAACCCTACTAATTTAAAATTCCCTAGCGCGAAATGTAAAATAAGGCGGAACTACAATTGAATTACTTTCGAGATGATGAACGGTTTTTTCTCATCAAACACTTTTTTTAATTATGGGCCCGTATTGGTGGTGGTTTTCGTGGTTTTCTCACGGGATCCCGGGATTAGAGCGAATAAAATTACATAAATCCTAAGTTTCCGCCCCATAATTAACGCTTACTAATTCGTTAAACTTTAATTTCCATGAACCCCAAGCAACCCGACTATATAGGAGTTCCTCATGGTTGCACTGATTCCCTCCTGACTTGTCACCGAAACCCTAACCCTAACCTGTTCTGCCCCGTAAATCCTATAATTTGAGCCATAATATTGCAATTATTCTTACACCTATCCCACACATTTACCTAAGAATTTTATCCTAAATCTAACCATTCATATTAATAAGGGATTCTGCCTAATTACTTTTTCTTTTTCGAAATTTTAACCCAGTATTTGGCGATAATCCGCAACGATTCCTCTCTAAACCTCAAGAATCTTAAAGTCAATATTTTTGGCGTTCAAACGCAATTAAACGCTCAAAAAAATTAAAGCGAAATACGCATTACAAACTCTCAATAATTTTTACGTAAACACAATCAGCATTCTCGCTAATTTTGGGTATCAGAAATGCAATTAAATCCTAAATTTTCAATGACTCTAAATCTCAATTCTGGGCTCTAATGGGTCTTTGCGTACTCACGATGTTTTAACAATTCTTTGGATGATCTTGCCGTCCAAAAGGAAATTTCCCAGATGTCCTTACACTTAATAAGTTCTGACCATTTTTTGATAAATTTGTTATTAGTTATATCTATACGGATTCGTGCGAAGCAACGCTTCATCCTATGAATCTCTGTTTCATTTTTATCGAGTTTGCTATGTTTATCAAAATAACCGTTCAGTTGAAATAAACGGGATCTTATTCAAGCTCTGTCGGAACCATGAGATGGCTCAAATTAAGGATTTCTTCATGGTTTGTTCAATGATCCTTATTGGTCATGTTAACTTTATGGAAAAGAGATGAATACTGCACTGTGCCATAAAAATTGGTGAGATAAATACATAGGATTCTGTTCTTATGAAATGACGCATAAACAATTGAGTCCAAACTCGATCTCTAAAAATGAAAACAAAATGGATACCAATTCAAGACAAATAATCCTCGAGGTCAGGAGATTTTCAAGCGATAGCATTAATATGAAATTCGATGGTGAAGAAATCGCGTAGATTTACGCCACTAACAAAATTCTAAAAGTTGCGAAACTCTAACCTTTCAAAATGAGATGAAATAGTGACAAACGAACCTTGAAATAGAACAATTAATCAGAGGGATTTAAATCTTTGAAAGGGAGAGAGAGAGAGTTTCAGACAAGCAGTTTGCCGTTCGCAACGGTAGAAGACATGTGATTGTTTCTTCAAATGCTCTTTATTGATTTTTTAATTTTTTTCTGCCATCAATTTCATTGATCGTTGGCTTTCGGATGGAATACTTGTAATCTCTCATTGTGGTCATACGAGGAATCTTTCTGGGCCGATTGTGTCCAGATGAAATACGAACCCGTCCCTATCAAAAAACGAGAATGTTTTCGGAATTTCAAGTTGTTCTCTCCCATTTTTGAGGAGGCTAGAGTGCATACAATGATGTTTTGAAGAAAACAGAAGTACGGAAATATCCCGAAAACTTTGTACCGACGCTTATATAGGTTTTGATTGATCTACATAGCGGCCATCGAGACGAACATTTTAAAAGAAAAAATACTCCAATCGACCAACTAGTTCTGGAAATATTCACAATAATTGCTTTGAAAAGGATAGGCTTTTTCTCGAGAACTATTGGACTAATCGACCGGATTCTACGGCCAGAGATAGTCCAAAGTAGAATCTATAATTTGGCAAAATTTCATATTTTTTGCAATCTTTTTTGTCCTCTTGTTGTATTTTTGCTTCCGAATGGAAGCTTTATAATCGTTCAATTTTGACATTGTCTAATTATTATTAGAAATTATGCAGAATGCTCTGCACCGTAAAAATACGAAGTTTGGCGAAAATGTCCGTTGGAAGGGTTTTTCCTGACCAGGGGCCGTATTCTCATTGACATATGGACTCTGAAAATTCTACAAACGACTCGAATGAAGTCACAAGTGTGTGAATCCGGGCGTCATATGCTTATTGAAACATGGATTTGGACACGTGAACGAACCATGGCTCTGCTCACGAAACATGTGCGCGACGCTGTTTTCCCAAAAGTACTGCAGTGGGCATAGAATTATTAAAATCATGTTCATTAAAGCAAGGATTCCAATATCGGAAAGATGATAAACTACATTTAATAACGGAAACTGATTAAATGAAAGAATGCTTGACGGAAAACAAAAGCGGAGCGCTATTTTCGGAGGAGACATTAAAGAGAGAGAAAGAACATGGTTTAAAAAAAGAATGGAGCAGATTATAATTCGTAACATTACATCCTCCTCTAAAAGATTGTCGTCGATATTTGTCGATGTCGATATCGATATTTCGATATTTGAGTTATCTTTGAGTTTATGACTCATTATTCTCTTTGAACCCCCAGCTGGAAAGTCCAAAAGACAAAATGTATTGACCCGAATTAAAAAAGAAGGTCATCTAGTAATTGTCTTCACATCATCTGGTGTTTGTCTTAAATCTATTCATCCCGATGGAAAGCTGAAAAAGAATAGAACAAATTGCGGAGAAAAAGCATTGAATAGGCAGAACATGTTCAACAAGAAGGCTGGGAGTAAGCAGGTAAATTGAGCAAGTAAATCCTTGAGCGATTTCTTGTAATCTGTCATCGCCATCAATGAATGTATGGTATGCTTCCGAACGACAAATCTTGATATCTTCATATGATTTCTCTTATTGCTTGATCGTTCTCGCAAATTTCCTATGATGAGGTATGTGACTTGGAATTGATCGAGATAGTGGTCATCGAAACGCATTTCGGTAAATGCCTATTACTCCCCCCCTCGAAGCTCGATACTGATTTTCTCCTGAATTGATGGTTTTTCAGTTTCTGAATCCAAATCTGAACCGTAGGTAGGCGAAAC